CCCCCGAGACCCGTCGCGGTGCGTTGCCCCGGCGGGCGGTGCCGGTCCCGAGCCCGGTCCCAGCCCCAGAGCGGACCCGCCCCCGTCCCACGCCTTCCCCCCTCCCCCGCGGTGAGCCGGGGCTGGCGGCCCCCGTGGAGACCGTGGGGGTGACGACAGCCCCCTTAGCACCTAATCGGTGGGGGCTGCGGGCTTAGCTGGGGCCGGGTCCCGCCTCTCCCAAGAGCCCCCCCCCGAGCACCTCCCCGTAGCGGGGCCGGCAAGGAGGAGCCCTGTGCTGGGACCCAGCCCTGGGAGCTGCAGAGCCGTGGCAGGAGGCTTTGTGGGGTGCGTGGCTGGTGTTCCTGTGCCCTCTCAGCAGAGATTTCCCCTGTACGGGTCCCCACCTTCATCCAAAGGTGTTTCCTGGTCTTCAGGGAAGACGAAACCCCTGGGAGATAGAAAGGTGGCACCACCTGGTGATGCACCTGGAGGTGCATGAGGCAAAGGTGCAGCCAAACCGCATTTTAGCCTGAGCTGGGGTTAGTCCCACTCAGTGTATGGTTTCAGAGGCCCTAATGAGACTTCACAGTACTTAATGAGCTAAAACCTGATGATATTGCCACATGGATGGCATTTCCAGATCCTCTTTGATGTCCTTAGAAGCCTGAGGAGACGGTGGTAGAAGACAGTTGGCTGTCTTGGGGTTCCAGCCTGCCTGGGATCTCACAATGTGTTGGGTCACCTTGGTGCTGTGCTCCACCCTCCTCTTCCAGTGCCAGCCAGCTGCTGCCTGTGTCTTGGCTTTCAAAGCCCTTGCAGGCATCCATGGAGGAACTGTTGGTGTCCTTGTGCTCTACCAAAGTTGCTGGACTTAGTCACGTGGAGCAGGCTTGGACAGGGGGCCGGGTAGTCCTTTGGATGTGCAGTGTTGAGAGGCTCCTCAGGTTTACTGAGGGCAGAGAGTTTCAGCATTTGCTCCTCCATGTGCTGGCTGGTATTAGGCCTTGCAGTTGCTTCCTGGGGTTGGGATGCCTCCAGCTGGGAGGTTGGAAACTCTTTGCCTGGACAAGCACCAATGTCATCTCCCTCCTCAGACATGGATCAACAGTATCAACCAGACCAATAAGGCGGCCCTGCTTGCCTGGGCAAAAGAAACCGGCATCGACCTGGTGCAGATCAATGGGCAGAGGCGATATGGTGGCCCCCCTCCAGGTATGTGAGAAGACCATCTCAGCGCCATGGTGCCCTGGGAGCTTGGCACATAGGGTGCTTGGCGGGCATGGAGGCGAGATGGGTCTCACTCATGTGCACCATGTTGCTGTGTGCCTGCAGGTTGGGTGGGCGACCCCCCGCCGGCTGGCACAGAGGTGTTCATCGGGAGGCTGCCGCAGGATATGTACGAGAACACGTTGATCCCGCTCTTCCAGAGAGTGGGAAAGCTCTATGAGTTTCGCCTCATGATGACATTCAGCGGGCTCAACCGGGGCTTTGCCTATGCCAAGTACAGCAACCGGCACGGCGCCAAGGAGGCCATTGCTGCCTTCAACAACTTTGAGGTGAAGGAGGGCTATGCCATTGTGGTGTGCAAGAGCACGGAGAAGTGTGAGCTGAGCATGGATGGCTTGGCCACCTCGGTGAGCCAGCAAGAGCTGGAGGCTGTGCTGCGGCGAGTCACAGAGGGGGTCCTCAGTGTCACCCTGTACACCAGCCCCTGGCGGAAACGGGCCCAGCTCGCTGTGCTGAAATACATGTCGCACCAGGCTGCTGCCATGGCCAAGAAAACCCTGATGGAAGGTAAGTGGGAGGCCAGGGTGCTGTGGGATACTGCTTGGGCTTGTCTTCCTGGTGTCCCTAAGGAACGACTGGTCCCACCTCGAGACTCAGCTGTGAAGTGACTTCAGCCTTGAGACATCCCTTGTTCTCTCCCTGTGTCCCATGGGAGGCGGGCTGTCCTCAGTGGGGTTAATCCCCAGCAGTCCTTGTGCTGACCTAGTGGTGGTGGTGGAGTAAAGGGGCTGCTGGAGGTCTTCAGGTAGCTGCCTGCTCAGAGCAGGAGCATCACCAGTACTAGTCCAGGGCATTCAGAACTTTGACCAAGTTGTTAAACCCTCCTGATGAAGACGCTCTACCCCTCGGTGCCCCCATCCAGTGACTGTATTGCCCTCTGATGGGACATGTATCCCAGACATCCAACTGGAACCTCCAAAGTCCTGATTTGTACTTATTTCTGCCCCAGCTGAGAAGCATTTGGCTTTGATGTCTTTGCACCTGTCCCTAAAGGCAGGCTGTCCCTAAAATCCCCTGAGCTTTGCAGCCCCGAGCCCACCTTGGTAGCAAAAGGAGATGGAGAAACAACTGCCCTGTGGCTGTGTTGAGGGGTTGTGGAGGCAGGGGAAAGGATCCTGTGCAGTTCGTGCACTGTGGGTCAGTGCCAAACCACCTGTGGGGATCACTGTGCCAGACGCTGGGGGACAGGATGGGGTGGGATGGGGTGATACTGGAGGGCTGGTGTGTGATCATCTCCTGCCAGCTGCTGCTGGTCTCTCTTAGGGAACATGAGGTTCGGTGGGCTGGAGATGCGGGTGGACTGGCTGAACCCCAATATGAAGCAGAAACTGCAGTCATGTGAGAAGAAGCCATCATCCAGCCGGGTACAAGGGAGCAAGTGCCTGGGGGTCCCCAAGCAGGTGCCCCAGTCTCCAGTGCTGCGCAACGTGCTGGACTGCCTGAACACCCTGTGCCAGAGGCAGTACCTGGGGACCCCACTGTTCCTCACCAAGTGTGTCCAGGCAAACGCCAACGGGTGGCTGTGGTTCTGGTGCTGGGTGGTAATCCCAGGGTGCCCTGTGCCCTTCAGTGGGTTCGCATGGGTCCGGCAAGATGGGACAGGCAGGAGCGGGCATGAGGAGGCGAAGATTGCACTGGCGCTGCAGGTTCTCCGGATGCTAGGTGAGTCCTCGCACAGCATCGGTGCCAACCCCCTGCCTTTCCCAAAGTCTTGGAGCATTTCCTGGGAGTGTGGAGCTGTAGTGTTTCTGGTGCATGGGGGGACCCAGCCTGGCAGGCAGGGCTGAAAGAGTCACTGCCAGCCCCGCCAGATGTGACCCCGGTGGCTCTGAGCTCTGGGTGGGATTCCTGGTTGGAAGCAGAGGACACAAGGGGAGGGCTTTTTGGGGTGCTGCTCCCTGCGGCACTGCACAGAGCCTCAGGCTTTCCTCCCCACTGCAGGATGCCAGCTGACGTAGGCAGCCGTTCTGCCCAAACCATGAGTTGACCCTGAGTGGCCAGCCTCGGTGCCGCTGGCCGAAGGAGCAGCATGTGAGCCTTGCTGGGGACCTGTTCGAGTTTGTTTGGGTTTGTTTTGAGAGCTGGCTGTGGAGGATAGGGCTGCTGGCCTGATCCATGACAGCTGCCCTGTCCCCAGCCAGCCCCTGGGGATGGTTCTGGGTTTTTGGGATGTAGGTTTACATGCCCAGTTTGGTTCCTTTTAAGTTGGTTTGTGTTGTTCTGCTGCAGTGGAGGGGTCTGGTGCAGGTTTTGGGAGAAGCAGCAGCTGCTTGGAGAGACTGCCAGTGTTGGCTGGGGAAGCAGAGGGGACATTGGGGGCTGCCTGGGCTCACTGGGGGACCGTCTCTCCTCTGCTGGCATGCCTGGTTCCTGAAGAACAGCCTCAGGTGAGGACAAGGCCACACACGGTGACCGTCCTGGTGAATGGGGGATGTTCCATGGGCAGGTGGAGCTGCTTTTTAATGAGGGAACTGTCTGCAGGTTCTGGGAGGTGCAGGACTGTTTGTGTTGCAGGGAAGCAGCTGTGGGGTTACCGGCTGTCTATGAATGATTCCTTGGGACCAGGAGGTCCGGCCACAATGTTGTTCAAATGGTATTAAAGTAGCCTGGAAGGCACTGGTTGTGTCATGTCATCTTTTGCTCCTCCATCCTCAGCTCCCTGCCTATCCAGTGCCATCTTGGTGCTCTCCCCTCCCACCAGGAAGCCTGTCTTCTCCAGCGGCAGAAGGGATGGGGTGTGATTTGGATCTATCCTATAGCCCCCAGGCTCTGGAGCCACAGCCTGCTGGCCCCCCTGAAAGCAGCGTTTGCTCCTGTGGGAAGCAGCAGTCCCTGGCACTGAGAGCTTTGTGTCCCCAGCTTCTCACCGGGGTCTTTCTGACTGCCTTTTAGTATGCCCCAGCCTCCTTTGAGCACCTCTTGATGAGGCCCCTGTGGTCTTTGACTGCCTTTGGGTGCACATCTGGGACATTGTAGCACCTTTACGCTCTTCTCTGGGGTCTCCAGTGCCTTTCAGCATCCCCAGCGGTCTAAAAGTGGTTTCTGATGAACACCAGGGGCTTCCATGTGCATTTCAGGGCATACCTGAGTGCCCCCGAGTACAGAGCTCTACTAGTCTCGTTCTCCTGTGGAAAGGGCCCAGGTGCCTTCCTGTTAGTCCCTGGTGGCCTCCAAGGGCCTTTCTGTGCTCACTATGGTCCTGAGTGCCTTCTGGTGCACTTAAGGGGACTCCATCTGCCTTTCTAAGCTGCCCAGGTGCCTTGCAGTGCAGCAGGAGGCAACTCTGAAGTGCCTTCAGGTGTCTTCAGTGGCTGTTCTGTGCTCAACACTGATGAACCAGTGCCTTTTGTAGTGCCCCAAAGGCCTCCCAGAACTTTGGGATGTGGCCCCATGGGATTCCGAGTCAATTTGGTGCACCTCAAATGGCCCTGCACACTGTCTCTGCTTCCCAGAGCTCTACCAATACCTTCTGATGCATGTCTGGATCCTCTGAGTCCCTTTGGCAGCACCCAGGTGCCATCCATATTCCTTTTGGAGATCCCCAGGGGGATCCTCCAGGAGCCTTTTGGTGCACCCTCAGGTGCTGCCTGGTGCCTTTTTGTACTCCTTGAAGATCTGTCTGTTCCTTCTGCTGTACACCAAGACCCTCACCATCTCTGCACCTGCAAGAGCCTCTGAGTGAATTTTGGTGTCTTCAGAGTGTTTCTCATTGCACTGCAGGGGCTTCAATATGCCTTTTCTTGTGACACCCTCCTCTGGGACGTCCATGGGCCATTCTATGCCCCGCCAGAGGTCTACTGCTAACATTTGAGCCACACCAAAGGCCTCAGGGGCTGTGCTGGCCCTGGGGATGTGTTCCAGCCTTGGTGTGGCTCAGGACCACATGGGAGTCTGTGATTGCCCAGAAGCAGGGCTGGAAGAAGGGTCACCCCAGCTTCCAAAGCAGCCAGATCTTTTTATTAGGAATGTCTGGAATGAGAGACACAAGCCTGGCCTTGGTGAGCACCCTGGAGAGAGGGAATCCCCCTTCCTGGGAAGCCCACCTATCTGCATCCACCACATACAGATACACTACATCTTCAGAGCTATCTTAAGATGTATCTACAGAAACATTATTGCTTCATCTTCTTCACAAGAGGAGCCTGGATGTCCAGCTGGGTGATGGTGATGGTGGTGGTGAAGGGGCAGCACTGCCTGATCCTCTTGCTGATGGTCTCCACCTGGAGCACAAGGCACCATGAGCCTAGGGGCACCAGCATGGCCCAGTAGATTTTCTCATAGTCCAGCTCCTGGAAAAACACTGGAGGGGAGCTGCCAAGGGTGGGAATTGGGGCTGAGAGTAGCCCTGGACTGCAGTAGCTGAGGGGCTCTGCCAATGGGAAATCCTGGTGGCCACTTGGGTGGAGGTAGAGACTCCATGGGGCAGATCAGAGCCAAAGGGTGAGGAACAGGCAGAGCTGACATCTGAAAGGACTAGTCCCAAGGGCACCAAGTCCTTCCTGCTACCATGGCCAAGGCTGGAGCATCTTACCTTGAAGTCAATGTGCAGATGCACCAGTGCAGAAGATGATGGCATGGGTGTTGCCACAGGTTTTGTAGGGGTCTGAGGCAATGCAGAGCAGGCTGAGCAAGGGCTCAGGAGGAGAGCATCCAGCAGATCTTCAGCGCCAATACCAAGTCCGGCTTGTCCTTCCAGGTGTGATACAGGTGGGCAATAGAGACTATGTAAGAGGGAAACTGGCACAGTCACAGCAGGGTGCTGCTCCCAGGGGCACAACTGCCAGGCCTGGAATGGCACCAGGGACCTGCTCTGAGTCTGGAGCTGGGGAGTACCAATGGCTTGTAGTCCTGGCCACCCCAGGGGTGTACTGGCCCTACCCCTCAGCTGAGGCAATGGACTGGGACATGGCCGGCACAGTCTGCTCATTCTTCACCCTGAGGCTGTAAGTGTGCAGGTGGGCACCCTCATCCATCTGGTACTTGCTGATGGGGATGCTGAATGAATACCTGGGCCAAGAGAGCAAGATGAGCTGCACTGGGCCCCAAGGTGTAAATCCTCCTCCTGCTGCTGCTTCAAGGTGGAGCTGCAGTGATGGGGCCACTCATCACTTAAGTGACTGAAGAACAACTGCAGGCAGGGGAATGGTCCTACTCAGCTGTTCATCCCCAACCCTGCCCAGCCAGTACCTTGTGTTTCCCCATGTCCATTCAGAAGGTGAACCCAACAGCATGATCTTCTTGGCTGTGATGGTGTTGAAGAGGCAGGCAACGATGCAGGCAGTGATGTAGCAGCACCAGCACTCTTTGAGCTCAAGGACCTGGCAGGAGATGTAGCAGCAGGTCAGGCCAGGAGCTGAGCTGCCAGTGCTGAGCCACCTCCAGTGGGCTGAGAATGTCAGAGACAGACCAGGTTGAGGACATCTTTCCGGAGATGGCTGCATCCCCCCCAAAGCTGCTCTGGCAGAGCACAGTCCCAGACAGTGCCAGCTGGGGACACCACAAGTTCCCTTAGGGATGGTGACACTGCAGGCTTCCCCCTCTACCCCCAGCATCGAGAGGCAGGTGACAAGCTGGAACAAACCCGGGGACCACCAAGGATGATAAGGGACAAGCCAGTTGCCAGGTAGATTTGTCCCACCAGGCTAGATGGTGTCCCAGCCTGGATGCTGGTGTGAACCCAGGGACCTTCCTTGTGCTTCCCAGGACAAAGCAGCAGGGACAGCCTGAAGCAGCACGCAGGCCCCAGAGGGGACACCCATGGGGACAGAGGGTGCAGGACCCACCCATGCTGCCCTTGGTCCATGCCAATGGTATGGGCTGCTTCCTCCATGTTGGCCGCCATCACCTCACCCAGGACACTGATGGAGTTGGTGCTACTGATCCTCTGAGCCAGGAACATGATGGCAGCCTGGGCAAGGACAGTGTGTGGGACCCTCAGCCCCACCTCCTGTGCCAGCACATAGCAGCTTGGAGAGCCCCAAGGTCCACGCATTGGGTTTTGGGCACCCAGTGCATGTAAGCAATGCTTGTCCCCTCAGGTGTCTCATTGCCACCAAGGAGGACTTCAGGTCAGAGGTGGCCATGCCTTCGGCCAGGACCTCGACAGGATGGGGGGGGCACAAGAGGGCATGGGAACGCTGCAGACCCACACGCCCCTTTCTCCTGGTCCATGCTGCCTGTCGGCCACCAGTGAGATACATGGGCCACCTTGTGCCACCCCCTAACCCACAGTCTCCTGCCTTGCACCGGAACAGGTTGGACTTCTTAGTGTTGGCATTGAAGAGCCGCTGGATGCTCTCGCTGCTCACACCAGCACTGTGCTCTTCTCCACATGGGTCAACCACCTGGCCCTTGCTGAGTCGAGAAGTCGATGCCACCCAGGGCTGGGCTGCAAGGGAAGGGGAGAGGGCAGGGTCTGGCCCCTGGGCAGGAGAGCTGGGTGCTGGCAGTGACCCCCTTGCTGTACCCAGAGCCTCGCCTAACCTAGAGATGCCCAACTGCTGGGCACATCTGGCTCCCCAGCCCAGGGCACCGCTCAAAGGCAGTGTGCCACAGCTGAGGGGCTGTCGGGAAAGCACTGCCTCTGGCTAGGGCCACTCCATGGGTGCGGATGTCACCCAGCCCACAGGCTCCCAGACGGCAGGGGAAGGTGCTGCCGGTCCCCTGCCCCGGTCCACGCTGCCTGCAGCCTCCTCCAGGCCACCAGCCACCCTGCCCAGTGGGGACCAGCCAGTGCCTGATGCTCTGCCCACGGCCAAGCCGGGCATCCCCATGGGAGCACTGGGGAAAAAAAAAACCAACCTGGCTCCCTCCTAAGTCACAACACCCAGGCACAGGGTGCTCTCCCCA